CAGGTGTTGGTACCAGAATCTGCTCACACTGCGAGGAGGGATACTGGGGATATTTTGACAGCCGATTTATTGGTATGCAGACGACACTAGACAGAATACAGATAAATATCTAACCAGACAGTGCAACCATTTTTAACTTTACCGTTTACCTTTAAGTTTACATTTCTGTGTGTGTATAATAATAATAATAATAATAATAATAGTAGTAATAATAACAATACTGTAGAGTATTCTATAATAATATTAGTTAGAAGAATCATTTAAATAATCACATTAGAACCAATACGGCACATGACGATAGCAATTCTAGTACCGAATAGCAACACAGTCCAAACACTAACAAAAAAGGTCTCTGGTTGGTGACAACGCAATATCACAAGATAAAACGATGTAGATTATAATCATCATATCATCATGGCGACGGTTGCAGGCTGCCGCGAATGTGAATGTAACGAGCATGGCAGTTTGGAGGGAATTCACTGTCTGGAGCAAGACGGATCGTGCAGATGTCGCCTGCACGTGCTGGATGAACTCTGTGACCAGTGTGAGATCAACTACTGGGGACTACCTACACAGCCGTGCCAGGTAAATAGACGACGAGTGAGGCTGCCATGAGCACCTCGAAATCAACTGCAGAAGTCCCCGCTTTATCGGGCCTCGGATAAACGGGTACATCGATTATAATTAAATGACATATGTCTTTGAAAAATAATTCTCGCGCACGTTGTTGTGTTCACCGGTTAATCGGGACCACCGCTTAATCGGTACATTTACCCGACCTGTCCAGATGAAGCTGAGATCACTGCAGAAGATACAGAAGAGTTGAATTCACGCATTCTATGTTTACTAAATGCTTGGATAATATTGAAAATACTGGAATGGCGGATATACTAAGAGGCGTCTGTGTGAAGTCAAGGTATCTACTGTATGACATATGCTCTCCCCTCCCGCTTCAGACGTGCAGCTGCGACCCGATAGGCACGGTTGACATCGCCGAGCCGTGTGACAGGACGGACGGACAGTGTCGCTGCAAGCCTGGCATAGGCGGCCGCCGCTGCGACCAGTGTCAGCCGCTCTACTTTGAGTTCGGAACGGAAGGCTGCAGGGTCTGTGGTGCGTGCAATTATTACACATACGTAGCGAGATTCCATACGCTGGGTTTATAGTAACACGTACAATGTTGCTCCTGATGACAACCGGCTCATCGATCGTTAGTGTACGGCCGTGAATACTGCGCTCTTTCCGCGCAGGCACATTAGTGCCGTAGCTACCATGAAGCAATAGGAGGCAAATGCCTCCTACAAAATTTCGTAGTCCCTCAGCTGAAATGGGAATTTAGATGTAATATATGCAGAGAATGCACCACAGACTGACAGAGCACCATATAACCGTTGGCTTCTGGGGCCCTTAAGCGGGCCCGATACCCCACGCCCTATTGGCTCGCTTCGCTCCTTGTTCTTTTTCCTTTAACTCACAACATTTGCCTCCTACAAAATTTACCTCTGGATACGGCCCTGAGGTACATATGCCATACGGCGTGGGCAGGTGTGCTGTAAAGGTAATTGCAACACCTGCAGGCCGTGAGTAATCGACGGTCTCTCTCTCTAGATATATACAGGTAGCACTGCTGTGATCGGAGAAGGGTAAAGGGGGTATCTTTGACCATCGTATATTGGTCGTTTTTAAAACACAACGTCGATTGATGTGATTTTGACGTCCGTGCGACATCAATCAATGCGACATTTGAGAGAAATGTCACCTCGACATCGACAAGAAATCAAATACATTGATCACTTTTTATTGTCAGTTAAAATTAACTTTAAATTAATTTGTTGACTTCTTACGGTAATCATGTTAATTATGTTCATTATTTATGTTATCTTCAATAAATACATAATAAATAGCAATGCGTAACGTCATGTGTTCATCGTGCAGCAAACGCGCAAAGCATTATAGGTAAAAGGTCTCGGCAGCAGAAATCAAAGAAAAAAGAAATTAGACAGGGAATTGTATCATTACAAATCCAGCTAATCCATCGAATATGCACAGTACCAGTGTTTAAAAACG